GAGCTTAATCAATAGATGCTGAATTTATATGCTATTGTAAGATTACTCTCAGTTCAAAACTTTCATGTTGGTTCTAACTAATAATAAACATTGATATAAGAGGCGGTTTCATTTCAGAGACTGAAAATATATGTTAACTAATTAATTCCCATAGCACCCCTCTGAGGTAATATCATTATCTCTTGTTTGTCCCTGGAGAAACTGAGGTAGAGATACTGACTATATTCACATGACAGAAAGTGAAATAGAGATGGAAATTAGAGTTACTTTGGTCTATGAAATAAATAACTTGGATCATGTGGCCGTCCAGTAGCTTTTCAGTTTTTTGAATTATCCAAATTTAAAATTTAATTAATTTAAAACATTGAAACAACAAATAACATCTATATATTCACCTCCATTTGATTATACATATGCAGTTAAATAAGCTGCTTTATTATTGTAAATGAGTCATTTATTCCACACATGTTTATTGAGCATGTGTCAGCCATTCTGCTCTCCAATTATCAAAACAACTCTTCAGGGAAAACACTATTATTCCTACTTTATAGCTGAAGATTCTGAAGGTCAGTGAGCAGGGTTGCTAGATTTTGCAAATAAAAATACAGGATGCTCAGTTAAATTTGAATTTCAGATAAATACCAAATAATTTTTTAGTATAATTATGTTCCAAATGAACATTATTTATTGTTTAACTGAGTGTCCCTTACTTTATCAGGGTGATTTGATCATCTTTTATCAGAGTGTCCTTGATATAAACCTGTCAGGGAGATTCAATTACCGGCTTAAGGAGCTAAAACTCAAACCCAGGTTTGTCTGTCCCTCAGGCCTGTGTTCTTTCAATTCATCAGCTCCCTCCTCAACATCAATATTGAGAAAGAATGTATTAATGTTAAAATGGAAATTTGGCCAAGCAATGAAAACGCAAAGATTAGTATAAATAGTCATGCAGTAAAAAACATAATGGTAATAAAGCTTTATGTTTTTAAGGCATCTGAAGAGATCCTGGATATAAATTTCCCAAACCAACATGGCTTGACCCCTGTGATGTTGGCTGTGAGAGATGTGGACCTGTTTGAGAGTCTCGATGTGTTAACAGTCTACAGACCCGTGGAGGTTCTGTCTGAACTCCTCAGGCATCGTGCGTGAGTATGAGTGGTCAGTCAGCAGCTGTGGAAGGATGTCTATGCCATTATTATTTACAGAAGTCACTTGTAAATCTAGACATATAGCTTAGGGGTTTTTAAATTATATATACTAAATGCACATGCATGTTCATAAAAGGGACTTCACAGTTGCAAAATGTTATACAAATGTTAGATGTTGCTATCTATTTATTCTTATGATATTGGCCCTTTGTTTTATTTGTTTAAATACCTACCTACTCTTTTGATAGTTACTGAGGATATCAAATAATTCTTGAGTATGTAGCTCCCTACCTCCAGGATGTTGCTAATTATATTGGAAAACATTGTCAAATATCAAAAGCAATGTATGGTAGTGATTTGCAGTTATCTAAAAATTACTATATGCCAACATGCTCCTTTAGGAGGGGGGAAATAAAAAATTAACTTTTAAAAAAATATCAGAGGGTTCATAAGCAGTCTCTCATGTTAAATTGCAGTTTCCTAACGCTGTTTGTTACCTAGAGAGCTTGTCATAAAAATAAGAACAGATGGCCCAAGCTCTTTTTCAGTATTTCATATGAATTTTGTTTTGGAAATAAAAAAAGGAAGAGGGAGCTTCAAAAGCAACAGTACCATCAAGAACAAGAGTTATTGTCAAAGGATCAGTTAGTATAAGAGGATGAACATGGAAGTTTGAGGCTACCTCAGAATTCAGTGTTAAGAGACAGATGAGTCTCTAATGAGTCTCTAATGAGTCTGTAAATGGAGATTACTGGCCACCACCCCAGAGATGGTGTTCAGCAGGCTTAGCGTGGTGTCCAGAATATAGGAGATCAAAGGACACCACATGGAGAAAGACTAATCAAGGCAGATGAGCAAACTAAAGTCCCAGTGAGTTAACTGATCTGCTTAAGGCCACATGTCAAGGTAGTGGCAGTCCCCCAATTCTTGGTCCTGTGCTATTTCTTTTGAATCATGATCCTTGATGGAGAAAAGGCTGTACTAAAATATTGTTGCAGATCATAAAATATGACCCTGTCCCATAGTAATAAAGAGATTCAAATTCAAAGGTGTGAGGTTGGAGACATGGTCAACTCGCTCCTTGTCCCAGAATGTGAGTAGTGAAATGTTATCGTTGTTTCCCTTACTGTAATCTATGAATGGGGTTCTCATCATTTCCTCTCTGGATCTCTCTGAGCTGATGTCTAATCCTAGCATTAAATACAGAGAGGATATTGTCACTGTTGCAAGGAGCCCTAAGATTGGCCAGTTGGGCTTAACAACCACAGGGCAAGGCAAAGAGGAATGAAAAGATGACTCAGAGAAGGATTTTATGACAAGATCGTTCAGCTGTACCAAGAGCCTGTGAAATAAGCACATTGACTTAGTTTTTGTTTTTTGGTTTTTTTAGCTGAGCCATCCTGCCACGTGTTGACAACTCAGCGGTAGCTCAGCTTGGGCCGGGAATTGAACCACTGTTGCTCAGAGCTCAAACTCTTGAGCGAGCTCTTAACCAACTGAGCCACTCAGCCAGCCCTAACTTAGTTTTGAAGAGAGATTTATGCCATCCTACTATTTTTCTTTTAAAGATTTGATTGGGGAATTGGGAGAGCAGAACAGCGTTGGGGAATCGGGGAAGGGGAACAGACAAGTTGCTGTCCTTTTGTTCTTCAGCCCAGTTGTGGAGGACTTCGCTTCACTGGCCCATGTTGGTATTATCATCGCGCCCTTCCTGGGTGAGGCAGATCAGTCGCAGGCCACTGGACGGCCACTCACGTTGGCTCTTGGCAGCTCACGCCAGCTGCTGGCCACACACGGTAGCTTATGGCAGCCTACTGCAGCTTCACTGCAGCCTACGCCATCGCCAGCGACTCATGGCAGCCCAGCTCCAGGTCGAGCTGTTGTTCACCATCTTAGCTGTAGAGGGTGCAGCTTCACTGGCCCTCATGTGGGATCCGAACCCAGGCCCTGCTGCTCAGAGCTGGCGTCCCAAGCCAGCTCCTAACCAACGCGCTGCTCGGCTGGCCCCCATTCTACTATTTCGAATGATAAAAGAACTAGGTGTTAGCATTAAAAAAAAGAAATGTTAAGAAAATAAACAGTTAGCTGAAACATTGGAAAGAAAAAAGAGCCAGATCAGCTATTTGAAAGGATAAGACAACAGTTTATCAAGATGTTTTTACTTTTACTTGATTATGCATCATTAAAGAGTTATGAAAATTTTTGTTCAAAGTTGGAAAATTTCTGCAAATATTAGAATGTTTTTAGAATGGGAGTGAGAATAAGATATACAGCATATTACTTTTGTTAAAAATTTTTGAAAAATTGTCACTCTGTCTCATACATTTTGAAGTCATTATTGTTATTCCCAAACGACATAAAATTACTTTTATTTATTTGATCTCAGTGATTTTCTTTTTCAGCAAATTTAACTAAATAATCTTTGATGTTGATTCTATTCTTCCTAGAGATCCTAAACTCTGTGATTTTAGTGGAAAATCAGCAATACATTATGTGTCACAATTAGAGAGTTTTAAGAAACAGCAGTTATTGGACATTCTAATGAATTCTATGCCAAAACAAGGTAAATATTTCTAATCCACTTTAAAAATTTTCCAATTATAAGGGCCCTAATTAGAAATCTTTCTTTTTCTACATATATTTAATGAATCCATTTAAAGAAATCAAACCAACAACTATTTATTGAGCAGTGACCCTGTACATGGCTCATGAGGATGTGCTCTGAGAGATGCAAAGAAGTTTAAGATATGGTCCAAACATTTGAAAGTGTTCAGTATTGTCAGGGATACATCACATAAGTCAGAGGAGAAAGAGCTTATTGTGCACTTGAAAAAGGGAGTGGAACTTATAGTGGTTCTTGAATGCTGGATCAGATATAGTAGGAAGGAAAAAAGAGAGAAGGTTTGATACAGGTGAGAAGAGTCTGAGCAAAGGCATAGAAACAGCCGCAGAAAAAGTGGTTATGAAAAAAAAGTGCCATTGAGCAACATGTGACTTTGTGAAAGCTGCTTGCTTGACTGTGGTTTTAATTAGCTTTTTTGTTTGAAGCTTCTGGGCAGGGAGCAAGGTCATACCTAAGAAGGTTTCATGGAAGAGGTGAGACTCAGTCTGGTCCTTGAAAATGATGGGAATTGATTTTGTGGAGCAGAGCACTATGCTTTAAGGGGGCGTGGTTATCCCAGGGCCAAACAGGAGACTAAAACCCAAAGGTCATGTCAGGGAAAAGGAACACATAAAGTCAGCTATATAAAGAAATTGAGTCCATTGAGGACCCATGGAATGTAAAGCTGAAGGATATAATTTTTTTTCAATAAAATAGAATCACTAAAGAGTTTTAGGCCAGAGAATAATGAAAGCATGTTTTAAGAAAATTATCTTGTTCTTATTGTGTAAGATGGGTTAGCAGGAAGAAACTCATGGCAGGGAATTTTATTAAGAAAGTATAGAAGTGTCCATGTATGGTGATAAGGACCAGGAAAAGAGTCCTTGGATGTGGTGTGGTAGGGGGTTTGATAGGCACTAGGTATGGTGAGTTTAAGGGATATTGTGTAAGAAGAATTCACAGAACTTAGTGATGTAAAGTTGATAGAGGAGACCCAGAGACAAAAGTTGAGAAAGAATCAGACCTGATTCCAAACTTTCAGTCCTGGGATGTGGGGAGATGGAAATACAACCAATAAAATTGGTTTGGTGAAGATATTGAATGTAATGAGTTCTAAAACATTGTATTGATGGAACCTTAGCCCTTTCAAGTAGCAACTTTCTGCAGGGAAGTGCTTGTTGGAAAGGATGGGTTCATATGTTAGTCTGGGAGTTCTCTACACAAAGGAGATTGTGAGGACCTGAGAGTAGGCAAGATCATTGAAGGATTAATGATGTTGAGAAAATTGCAGTGGGGCTGAGCTGAAGAGGTGCTCCCACAGTTAGAGTGGTGTGTACATAGGGCCTCAAGGAAGTGAGAGAGGGAGGAGGAGAATCAAGAGATAGTTGCAAGAAGAAATAAATGGAAACAACATCAAATTGGAAAAGAGGTTACAAAGCAGATGTGGTAAGAAAGTGAGAAGTTTCAATGGCAGGATAGTGGCAGAAGATAGATTGCAAAGAGTAAAGAAGAAAAAGATGGTGAAGAAATAGAGGATCTGAGTACAGATCACTTGTTCACTTTTGGTTTTGTTATAAGATAAATGGAAGAACCATTGGAAGAGGGAGAAATTTTCAGTGAAGAGCCATATCGACATAAAAATGTCAGGCTAGCAGGAGGGAGATGAACATGAGAACAATGTCACTCAGGAAAGAACTGGGAATTCACAGTTTGATGTACAAACTTGGTCAATTTAATGTGGCTTCAGTGCTGGACAGGAAATGCACTCAGAGTAGCTGAGTGTTTTTGTCTTTGGAAACGATGGAGTAAATGTAATTTCCAGCCAAGTGTTAGGGGTTTCACTTAACAACTTTGCCTAACTTTTTAAAGAAACAAACCAAACCCCATCCATTCTGTAGACGCTTTTCCTCATATCTCTTCCTGTAAAAATTATTGCCTGAAGCTTCATCAGAATCCCACACCACTATTTCAGGAAAACCTTTGACAAAACGGAATTGATTTCAGAACCTAGAGCTAAATCTTTCGGGTGAAATTGCTGGAGATGAGACTTATCAAAACACATTATTATGTTTCTTTTGGCAGAGAGACATGCTGCATCATTGCTTGACATTTGTCATGATACAAACTCTTCTCCAACTGATATGAGAGTTACTGAAAACCAAAATATTCTCTTGGAAAGCATCAGCAGCAGTGAGGTAAGATGCCCTCTTTGAAGAAACAAACTAACAAAAAATGGATGACTTACTCCATCGATTACTTCATTTGTTTGAATATTTTATAACAATTATATACTGCAATTACATTTTAATGCAATCATAAAGAAATTTAAAGCACATTAATAAAACAGTGTGCTTCAAGTGTAATCTCAGAGCAGTAACTAGTCCACTCTCAGTCTCATACATTGTGTGTGTGTGTGTGTGTGTATCTAATATAACAAAATATTATGGTGAATCCATACTAAATAATAAAATGTGGCTTGTCTTTATGTATGTTAATGTGGAAAAGGAGCTCAGTAATCTGATCATGTCAAATCCGTCACAGGGTACCACAA